TTAAGGCCATTCCCCCTCTCTTTAACCAGGAAATCAAGCTCATGAGCTCAGCTGGGATGTTCTTCCTTGGGGGATCAATGACTTTGCCACACAAATCTAGAAGAGTACATGGGAAAATGAGGAAGGGTCCATGAGGAGACACCAAAGGATTTGATCCATCAGATAAACTGAAATAGGGATGATCTTGGAAAAAACAAGCACCAAAACTGTCTATCTGGCATAAAAAATTACTTCTCTTAAGTATATAAGTGACATATAAATAAAAGTAAAGCTCACAACTTAAAAGGAGGGGAAGAGGGAGAATTATTTAATCTCCCTTACTGAGAACTGACCTGGAATTCTAACACAGATTTAAGGAATATATTTTCCCTGCCACAGCAAATAAGCAGCAGCATCACAGAACAAACCCAATCCCAATTTCTACTTTGTCGTCCTTTTAGAAACGTCCAAAGGGTTTTTTTTCACCCCCAAACTCAATAATTTTCCTGGTTTTGTCTATCCTGATGCTTCATATCCCAGTATTTGCTGCCTCACAGTGTTCTGTCCTTGTGTTTTCACTAAAAGCTAAAAAGGAGGATAAACCCCACCAGCTCCCCCAGGTCTGACATAGAGCTGTGCACTGGGTTGGTTAAACACAGCCAGGCCCCACAACTCCTAAAACACTTCCAAGGAAGAGGAAATAATGGGAATGTCTCTGAATAAACCTGTACAAAAAACCTGAATAAAAAGGGAATTTCTCTGAACAAACCTCTGCCAGAGGGAGAGGGGCAGAGCTGGTTAAAATGCATTATTTGGTCATAATAGTTCTGATGTAATGACTTTTTTTTTGGTAAAAACTAGAAAATCAGGAATCCCCCCTCAGGAGAGCTCACACAAGCAGGATGACATTTCACAGGGGCTACTGGAACTATCAGGAGAGGCACTAAAAATTCAGATATCCAAGACCTTGGGTGAGTCTGTGACTCTCAGAACCCACAGGAGGAATCAGAGAACCAACTCCTCAGTTTGCCTTCCCCAAAAGGGAAGCAAAAAAAAAAAAGGGATGATTGTATTTCCCCGGTAAAGAAGGAGGATTTACTCACTTCCTGTTCCTTTTCCTGGCTCGGCTGTAGGCCTCCAGCCCCTCTGTTAGTGTCTTCAGCTTCTCTGGCTCCACCTGAGTGAAGGGATGAACACCAAACCACGTTACCCGGAGCTGCAATGCCCACACATCGCTCTCACCCCCCCGCCAGCCTGGAATCTCATCCCAAAAAACCAGGCAGGCACAGCAGGCTCCACCCTGGAAAGCATTAAAACACTGGGACACATAATACAGTCCTTACAGGTGCCCCCAACATCAAAGTGTTCCCATCACCTCCAGTTTCTGGGTGGAAAACTGAAGGCCAAATTCCTTCCTATTCCAGAGGAAAAGCTTTATTTGTGCTTTAGGAATCCCAGACTCCTCACTAAAGGAGTCCTAAAATCAGTTATTTCAATTTTTTTTTTTTAATTTACAAAGATCCTTTACCAACCTGCTGAGTCAGGGATGGATTTGGGCAAGGGCCAATATTGGTATCTGAGAGTGTTTGAGCTGGAAATTTAAGCTGTGGATATTTTAAGCAAGGGGTACCAGTTCATCCCAGCACAAACAATGAAAGCAAGAAGATAATTCATTAATTATATCATCTCTGTAATTTTAGCATTTGCATTCTCAAAACATGAGTCCACTTAACTCGATTATTTTCATCTGGCTCAAGCAACTTCTGCTTGTGAAAACAACCAAATCAGGATTTATGACACACCAACCTAAAGAAAAGCTGAATTCTTTTTTACTTTGCTACATCTTGATTGGTATTTTTTAACTGAACAAGAACCAGCTTTTGTGTTCTGACACAGGGAAAATGAATTCTATAAACACAAATTTATTAAGTTTGTACAACCCAAAAATGAGATTGAAATGCAAATTCCCTCCGAACTCAGCCTTTGCAATTCCTAAATAATTTATATTCCCCACGGAACTGATGTTTGGATGTGACAAGGGGGAAGTTAATGAGTGAGCAGGTTGTCAAAATCTCTAAAAATACAAGTTTAGATCCAATTCCCCAAGTCTTGACTCAGGCCCGTGCTAATGAAATTTGGGAATAATTCCAGGAGTCACTAATGGAGGAATCTGCACGTGGGGAGGTGGGAATTCAATTTCCAGGAATTCAATTCAATTATGCCACAAATTGGAGCGTTTCCCTCCTTAAAACTGTGCTCACTTTTAATGCAAATACTTCCAACAATTCCTCTCCTCGTTGGATTTTGGAAGAACACAAATGCACAGGGAAGAAATGGAATCTATTGGAAACCTGGGGAGCTTTTCCAAGGCAGGGAATTATCCCTTTCCATGGGTATCTAAGGAACAACCTGCAGGGGCTGTAACCACCTGCCACGAGATAAATGAGAAGGTTAAAGGGTAAACAAGAATATAAAGAATTAATATCATGTTTGGGTGACAAAGGACTTGTGTTCAGCAACAGAAAGGACTCAATGTCTTCATTATTGGCATTTTGTGATGCCTACACATTAAAACCCACTTTTTTAAAAGAAGTATCAAACTACTACAAAACAGGGCACCCAAAGCAAGTCTACCAGATTAATAATAATTATCAGTATCAATAATAACAGTAGTTAATAATAGAATCGGTAGGAACACTAAATCATACACACAGATGGGGTTTCCAGCACATGGATAAGTCACACCTGTAAGACTAGAAAAGCCCAGCTTAACCAGCCCAGTTTAACCAGCCCAGTTTAACCCACTAAGAACAGTGTTTGCCCTGAGCAGACTGACCAAGGAAAGCTCAACAAAGCCTTGGACCTTCCCCCTGTTGCCCTCAAACCCTTGGTCCTGCTCTGGTGATTTGAGGTGGATAATAATCAAACTCATTGGTTTAATTACACATCCTCTGGTTTAGGATGTGTGGATTCAGACTCACTCCTCTCCTTCCCAGACATATCTGCTCCTGCTGCTGCACCTCCCTTGGGCTCCTCTGACATCCAACAGCCAAGAAAACAAGGAAAGGAAGGTGCAAGATTCCTCCCTTCTCCTGCTGGGGAAACCCCAGCCTGGCTGCTCTCCAACACACCCATTATTGCTCTGAACACCCCCATGGAAACCAAAACCAAACGATGTCTAAGCCAGAGAACAGGGAGAAGTACAAATCCCAGCAGCAAATAATTGTCACAATGCAGGAGGGGCACGTTTGTTACACAGACACTTCCAGAGATGTTTCAGGGAAGCTCCACGGAAAAGAGGATTTCCAGAAGTGCTGCAGGTGACTCCCACCATGGATGTGACTGAAGGGCAGAACTCCTGAAGCCCATTTGGTTTTAAAGGCAATTTCTTTTTGGTTTTCCAGGTTATTTCTCTTGGTTTGGTGTGTTGTTTTTTTTCCCTGTATCCCACCTTTCACCCCCAACTCCTGCCCTTTGGAAAGGCTGTTCACTCTGTGCTTCTTGATGGAGACAATCAGACACACTTTTTAAATTTCTTTTTAAATTTAAACTGATTAAATTAAAGGTCTTCTGATGCCAGAGGTGATCCATGACTTCCCGATGAGGGACTTGAAGTGGTACCTTGACAGGAGCATTCCCAGGCTTTGCTTCCCTGTTTTTTGGGCTTCAGCACCCAATGAAATGGGTGCCACTGGATTTCTCTCACACAATATTCATGGAATGCACACAAACCCCACAAAAACAAAGGAGGCAGGTTTGCACAAAGCAACGACACATTCTGGTGTCCCCAAACCGGGGAGGAAACACGGAATCGCCAAGGAATGGAAAGCAAAATAAATTCACCTCTTTACAGGAGTTCTAAACCCAAAACTCTTCAGTTATATCCAACACAATTATATCAGTCACAGAGATGTGGATACACAATTTTGGAAGTTAATACATAAATCCATACTGGGAATATGTGAGAGCCATAACTGTGTTCCTGATTCACATGGGACAGGGATATTGTACATCTGATTTTTCCAGTTTTGTTTAATCTTAAATAGTTTGGGGTCTTCTCCTGTGCCTGCACTTCGTAAACTGACTGGAAATTTGGGGATGTGACCATCCCAAGGATTGAGCTCTGCAGCCATGTCCTGGTTTGGGCTGGGACAGAGTTACACCAGGACAAGCTCTGGAATATTGTCACCTGCAAAGAGAGACTGAAGTTCTCCTGAGTTAGGGTGCAACAACCTCAGTTATTTTATAAGAACTACAAAGATGAAATGTTATACAAGTAGTGGAGACCAGACTTGGAAATATTTACTGTAATAAAGTAACCAATAACTCCTTGATAACTGTATTGCCTGTATATTCCCCCACAAGCACACGATTTGTGGACACAAAAGAAAGGATTTCAGCATGAAAGAGCAAATTTCCTCCCTACTAAAAGATGATCCAAACCTCCTTTTATGCTGAAAATGTGTGTGCATTTCCTCTGTGTCAATCAGCAAGATTCCCCTTAATACACACTCCTCCTGCTGATTCGATCACTTCTCCTTTTTTTGCAGTTTCAACACTTTTAGGTATTTTCACACCAGGTTTTGACACAGCCAGAAATTTGACCGAACACACAACGGCAGCGAAAGCCTTTTTTGGGTAACACCACTTTTCCACGCACAACTGATTTAGTAAAGCCCAAACCTAACCTCTCTGAAGGCAACTGGCACAAGTTTCTTACGGGAAACCACGGGGAAATTCAGTCCTATGAGCTACAGGTAAGGAAAAAACCCAAACCGTGCTGCTAAAATAGGAGACAAAGACCAAAATGACGACGCTTTGGTGGGCACGTGGAGAGAGAGAGAGATGTGCATAGATATATAAATATACCTTCCCCTCCTCAGCGTTCTGTTGACATGAATTGTGAACTTCTTCCTCCCTCACCAGTTTCCCAGGCCATGAAGTGAGTCCTTTGATCTGGCCCCAGACCAAGTCGCCCACGTTGAACGTCCTTGGCCTGTAGTGGAGGAGCTCGTGGGAGGAAGGCGAGTCGGGGTTCCTCAGGTCCTCCTCGCTGCTGATGCTTTTAGCATCCGAGGGGCTGGGCACGCACCCATTAATGCTTTTGGCATTAAAATCTCCATTGTAATGGATGTAGTCTTTCACCAAGGAGCTCTCCAAGCTATTGGAGGAGCTCGGGGATTGCTCTTCCAGACCCAGGTCTTGTTTGGAAGCGCTCAGCAGGTCCCCGAAGGCCCTGCCCTGCTGCGGCCTGTTCCCGTTGATGTGTGCACAGCGTTCCACAGTGTTCTCCAGTCTGTCCTTGAAGCTCAGCATAGTTCTTTTGTAATTGTTATACCTGAAATTCTCCTCCAGCGCCTTCTCGCTCTGGCAGTTCCTCTGCGGCAGCAGGGCCTGGTGCTGCTCCCCCGGCAGCAGGGGCAGCGCCGAGGCGTTGTTGGGCCTCTCGTGGCACGGGCTGCCGTGCAGGTGGGAGTGCTCCAGGAACTCCTCGCACTTCCACCTGTTCAGCTCACCCACCGGGCTCTGCTCCCCTTCCCACTGTTTTTTGGGGGTGTTACAGCTGGCCGCCTTGTAATACTCGTAGCCCTCGCCCTCCCCGGGGTTCTTGCCGTGCTCGGCGCCCTTGGGGCCGCGCGCGCCGCGGGCGCCCCTGGCCCTGCCCTCGTGCTCGGGCACGGTCACGCCGCGGCCGTGGATGACGGCGCTGACGGCGCTGGAGAGGTTCAGGGGGTCCCCGATGGAGGCTGTGAAGGCACTCATGGCACTCAGGGCGGGGATGGGGCTCATCTGGGTGGTGCTGCTCACGGCCGTGGTGATCACCACCTGCATCCCCTTGCTGGCCGCGTCCACCACCGCCTTGTAGATGGCGTCCACCGACGGGTCCCCCGGGCCACCCACGGGCAGGGAATCCTTGGGCTGCTGCCCCAGGGGGGGCTCGGCCCGGGGCTGCAGCTCGCAGGAGGGTTCTGGGAAGGGAGGGAGCATCGCGTTGGAGCTGTCGGGAACCGGCGCCATTCCCATCTGGGTGATCATCCGCTTGTTCAGGACCGCGGCGTCCTCCTGCATCCTCACCTGGGGAGGGACAGGAGAAGATGGGAGTTCATATTCTGGATTAATGTTTCATGGAATTGCAGAGGTGTTGGGGTTGGGAGGGGCCTCTGGAGACCACCCAGTCCAACCCCCCTGCCAAGGCAGGGCCACCTGGAGCAGGTGACACAGGAACTTGTCTGGGTGGCTCTGGAATGTCCCCAGAGAGGGAGACTCCACAACTGTTTCAACCAGACAAACTTGGTCTCATTTTAATTAAACCCTGAGGTGGTGGCCAGGGTGACTGTTCCTCACAGGACACCACTTCATTTTGATTAAATTCCAGTTGTGAAGTTAAATGCAGAACAAGGTAGAGAGAAAACAAAAAACCCTAATTCAGAAGAAATCAGACCCACTGGCTCTCAGACTTTGCCTCGTGGATCAAACTGGACACCTTGACATGATCCAGCCCCCCATGCACTGCTGAGACTTCACCATCATCCCTTTCAGAGCCTTTCAGAAATTTCCTCATCTGATTGAAGCTCAGCTCTTTCCTTTTCCTCTCTCAAGTCCTAAACAACTCCACCAAGATCAGTACTTTTGTTATAGAATCCCAGGATGGTCTGGCTTGGAAGGATCTTAAAGCCCATCCAGTGCCACCCCCTGCCATGGGCAGGGACACCTTTCACCAGCCCAGGTTGCTCCAACCTGCCCTTGGACACTCCCAGGGATCCAGGGGCAGCCACAGCTCCTCTGGGCAACCTGTGCCAGGGCCTCCCCACCCTTACAGCCAAGGATTTTTTTCCTAATATCCCATCTAAATCCCACAACCTTCTCTTCTCCAGGCTCCTCCAGCTGAGATGATCCAGTCCAAGCTCCAGCTATAGGAGGTTGCACAGGATCACATCCAGGTGGGTTTTATGTATTTCCAGAGAAGGAGATTCTACAGCCCCCCAGTTCTGTTCTCAGCTATTCTTTCCTCCCTTCCTGGCACCTCCAGACTAAACCAACTGAGGTTTTTGAACTCCCTGTCACATCCACAGGCAGGGATGACAATGGCAATGAGAGCATTGTAACAAAACACTGCAAAGAACAACATGAAAATATTCCAAAAGCCCCTTTAAACTGCTTACCATGACCATTATTTATAGAACTGGGAATCTGGTGCAAAAAACCACTGAGCTAAAGCTACCAAAATTCACACAAGAGAGGGAACAGGCAGGTAGAAAACGGGAGATTTTGCAGTGGAACATCTACACTGAGAAATGACACATCTCCTTTCCCCTCCTTACAGGGTAAAAGCACTGCCTGGCTCTATCTCCATGTCCCATCCTCACATCTGGAATTCTGCAGCAACCACAGCAACCCCGAGTAACAATAAATCCCTATTTCCCTCCGGGTTTATTCCCTCCTTTTGCCATGTCAGTGTGTTGGTTGGATATTCAACCTGCACTGTGAAGAACTGGCTATTTAGGTGAGAGGAGGAAAGGACCATTTTTGCACACTTTGTCACTGTACATTCACTCTAATCCCTGTTTTCTTCAGGCTGCAGAATCCAGCAGCTCTTCCATGCAGTTGCAGTGGGAATACAAGAGGACTGGCACACACAGTCACCTACAATAACTCATTAAGCTTCTAATTATTGTGAAGTGGTTCCAGCATTTATTTCTCACTGCTGCATTATCGGAATGGGCTGAATGGGAATTTATGATCCTTTCTGCACAATGGAAAAGAGTTTTGCTAAAAATTCATAGTATTGTCAGCACATAAATAGCATATTTTTTTCAATACATGCAGCATAACTCCTTCCAAGGAAACTGGACCCAATTCCTGCAGAGAAAGGTATAAAATTTCCATAAAAATGTCACTGATTTGCAAAACTCAGAGTGAAAGAGTAAAATGTAGACAGTGTATATATATAATTTATATGGATCATAGTGCCTTAATCAGCAAAGAAACCCAGAGCCTGGGGGATGCAATTTTGCCTCCTGAGAGCTGCACATTTGTTGGAATATTGCTTCCCTCTTGCTTCCTACCTGGAAATTCTGGAACAGACAGGCCATGGGGTTTGGGTTGTTGGCTGGGCCAGGGATTTGGGGCTGGCCCTGAAAGCCCTGCACGTTCTGGTAGCCCTGGAGAAGGTGCTGCTGCTGCTGCTGCTGCTGCTGCTGCTGCTGCTGATTGGGAGGAAACATCTGATTGTTGTTCAGGAGCGACTGGAGATGACTCAGCTGATGGTTGTTCAGAGTAGTGTTCAGGGATGACATGTCACCTGCAACCCAAACACAGGCAAACACGAGTCACAACCGTTCCCAGCCTTCAGCAGGGATTTCCTTGACTCCAATTTTAACTGACTGCTGAAAATGCCTCTGTGAAACAACCCTGCTCCCCTCCAGCCTCCCAGAGGTCCTCAAGGGATGTCTCTCCTGCTCTTTGTTCCTCCTTTCTTGTGTCACATCCACCTAGATCTGCCTGAAGGGCCCTGACAGGACTCTGGGAACAGCCAAGTTTGGCAGAAGGAGCCTCTGTGACAGCCCATGTCTTGGAATCTCCTTCAAACAGCACTGGGGTGGGGAGAGGGAGGAGGAGCAGAGACAGAGAAAAGTGAAAATAATTCAAAACCCCAACAAAACTGGTTTTTTAATAATTATGACATGAGCCAGCTGTGAATGAGAAAAGGCTTTTTTGCCCCAGACATGGAACACCAAACAATTATTTTTGTACATTCTAGAGTAAAAATTGTAGTAATAGTTTGTATTATATGAAAATCTCAATGTGGAAATTCTAGTTCTAGTAAAATAAACATGAAACAGTAAAGCTTAAAATATATCCATTTTTTACTTGGTTTCTTTTTTTTTTTTTAATTAAAAGCTCTGGTTTTCCTTAAAATTTCCATTTGCAGAATCACTGGTTAGTTGTATTTTACATGGAAAATGTGACGTAGGGTTGAGTCCACTGCAGCCATTAGTAGGGCAGTATGAGGTATTAAGTTAAATATTTAAGTTAAAATACTTTATCAGCTCTTTGCCACTATTTAATTCCTCACATTTAATGAGATACACAGACCAAACAGAGAAGCACTAACTCTATTACATATTTTTGGTAAAAATAATCAAAAAATCATCACCCAGGATAAAGAAATCTTGTATTTAAGAGGTTTTTAATCACTTTTTTTTTGAGATGTAGGTGTTGGTCCTGCACAGCTACTCCCACTAACCCTGTGCTGCCACACTCTGCACCCAGGGAGGCTCCTGAGCTGCTGCTCCTTGAGCAATGAAACAAGTGCTGACACAATTTTCCGGTGTTTACAGAAGGTCTAGGTGGCAGAATTAATAATTTCCCAAATCAGTATTAAACATTGAGGAATCCAAGCAGAATTTGCTTTAAATCTCCTGCCAGAAGAGTTATTCTCCACAAACAAGCTGTCACACACACACACATAAAAAAAAAGGGTGGCAAAGCGGAGTTTTTGCAAAGAGAAAATGAAATCCAAAGCTCCCCCTCCCCTCCCCTCTTCATTTGATTCCTTTCTTTATTTTTTCAAGTTTCCTTTTATAGCTGGGAAGAAAACTGGACTTACCAAGCAGGCCCGTCCCCAGGAGAGGGTTAAGGAGCTGTGGCACCACAGAGTTACTGTTGAGTTTGGCTGGCCCAGGAGCACTCCCAGCACTATTAGATATGTTCAGCAAGGTTTCTGCCATGGACACCACGGCCGTGCCACCGCCCAGCGCCGAGACAGACAGAGCTGCCACCGCCGAGGACGTGGTGGTGGTGGTGGTGGTGGCCTGGGAGGAGGTGGCAATGGAAACCTCCGGGTGGCCGGTGGAGTTCAGGACACCCCCCACCAGCTGGGGGTTCAGGGCCATGAGCGCCGAGGGCCCCGAGCCGGCGGGCAGGAGCAGGGGGTTGGAAGCCGCGTCGGCGCCTGGAAAGCTGGGAAGGGGGTTGGACAGGAGGGTCTCCACCCTGGAGCCGTCGGGCAGGGGCTCGGGGGGGGCCGGCGGCTGCGCGACCGAGGGCACGGGGGGGTTCTGCTGCTGCAGCAAATCTGAGATGGTCACATTGAAGGATGGCACGGGGAGCATGGCAGCGGCTTGGGCTTGGTTCTGGAGCAGGGCTGCCAGGAGCTGGAAGTGCACGGGCTGCAGAACCTGCCCGTCCACGTCGCCGGAGAGAAAAGCTAAAGCGGCGTTTACATTCGGGTTGAGAAAACCTAAAGGGTTGAGGTTGACCTCGGACTTGCCTTCTCCCGCTGAAGGCTGCAGGATATTTAATAGGTTCTGGTTTAGGAGCTGCTGCTGATTGACGGGCAAGGAGAGAGGCAGGGAGCTGAGGAGGTTGGGGTGCAGGGCGGGCGGCAGGCTGCCGCTCCCGGCGCTGTTCTGCGGGAAGGGCAGCGGCGCCTCGGGGCCGGAGAAGGGGAAGTCGGTGCCCACGGGCAGCTGGCCCTGCTGGAGGGGGGTCCCGGCTGCCGTGGTGACAATGACACCGTCCTGCAGCACGGAGGTTGTCTTGGTGATGGCAGGTTGGCTGGTGCCGGCGATGGCGATGGACGATGACGGCCCCGAACCGCCTGGAACGCAAACAAATCCAGCTGTTAACGGGGTTCTGCTTGTTGGAGACACATCCCAGTCATGCAATAACCCAAACCAGTCGTGTCTGACACCCACACACGGGAAAAAGGATGTTTGGAGCATCCAGACTTGAGTCCTTTTACAATATGGATGGATCTGCCACCAGCTACTGCAGACACCCATCGGGAATTACTGAACTTGTGTGTCCCCTGACGTTCTTCGATGGGGATAGAACAGGATTTCATCCATCAGCACAAACCCCAAGGCAACCAGAACATAACAGAGCCAGTTGTGGACCAGTTATGGTCCCAGTTAATCCCAGTTTGGGATTAACCACTTGGGAGAAGGATCATGGATGATGCTGGGGGCGAGAGTGTGAGAACACAATCTATTTCCATTTCTATTTAATTCACGGGCTTCCGGATTTTAAATTATTATTCAAAGCATTATTTTGGACTCCTGAATTAAAACACATGATGAATCTAATGGGTAAAATACATTTTGATCCAGCTCTGTTGGCATTCACAGCCCCCAGTGATTTATACAGAAAAAAATGTGGATTGGGGTGGTAAAATCAAACCCATCACTTGGCATGAAAACAAAGAGCAACTGGGTAAATTTACTATGAAAAAGTTACAAAGAAAGAGTAATAAAGTTTATCTGGGTATCTTTACATCCCTTCAGCAAAGCTGAAGCATAAAATACTGTTATTTTTTTCCTTAAGGCAGAGTCTTGAACTGGCCCCCCAAAAGCACCTGGGAGAATTAAAGCAAAGGGAATTGCCTTGAAATATGTCCTTCTGCTTTATTTACTGCAGTTCACTGGAGAACACTGGAGTATTAGATTTATATCTAAAACTGTGTCATTATAAATGGATTTAACGATGGTTTCATGCAGTGAAATAACTTTCCATCCTCAACTGCCCTGCAAATACCAGAGATCAGAAGGTCCCAAATAATCAATTATAATTTTTCTCCACAAATACCATTTGAAAAGGGATATTCAACCACACACTCAGCTGGTAAGAGCTGAACCAACTCTTTACATCCTTTGCAACTTAAACCGCCACTTTTCAAGCACTGTGACATTCTGACAACTCAAAAAAAGGTCCAAAACTAACACAGAGCACGGGGCACTGCACTGAACTCAGTCTGGAACAAGGAAGGAAAACCCCAAAATACACATCCCACTGGATTTCCACTCATGGATTCATGTTCAAGGCCTCAGATTGGGCAGGAGGAGTGATGGGTCACTGTGGAATCACTGAGAAAAGACTTTAATTCTATTTATTCATCTGTTTATTCATTTTTAAAAAGCAGGAGAAGTCCCAAAGACCGACCTACGGATTTAAGAGAGATCATTCCCAAATTCATCCCTAGTTTTAATGGAAGAATCAGCTGTACCTCCCCAGGGATGGGAGATGGATGTTTGTAATTTATTCATGATGCTGTTTTCCATTCAGGTGAAGGAGCACATGGAAAAGTGTTTGCTGGGAAGCACATCTCAAGAGTTGGAAAATGGCTGCTGGTTTTTTGGCAAACAGGGCTCTGTTCTCTGACCCATCACCCACCACTCCTGGAGACTCCACCAGAGCATCTTCAACACCTGCCCTTTCTCCAGATTAATTAAACAACTAATTAATTGCTACTGAGGTAAAAAAAAAAATCCTGATGGATCCTGAGTAGGAGGAACAAAATGTGTCCTTATTTCAATCCAGGCTGGAGAAGTTTGGGAGTGGAAGAGGTGATGAACAGCCAGACTTCAGCAGGAAATAAAACACAGACAAACATCCCCCTGGAGGGATATTTGATAGGAAGGCACAGCAGGAATTGGGGGAGAAAAGTCCCAAATTGGGTAGCAGCAAAGACAATATTTACAGCTACATTCTGGGACAGCTTCATGACTGAACTGCCAAAATATGAGTTCTGGATCTCTTCCCAAGTACCACCTCCGACAAGTCAGTGTTCCAGATGAAGATGTGCAGGCACAGCCATTCCCACTGGAATACAGAAGCTGCCAGAGCTTCTCCATGTCTGGCTCCAGGCCAGGAGATAAAATCTGAGTTGCATTTTCCCCCTTATAGAAGAAGTACAGGGTCCATTATGTGACAGACAGTCCTTCCCTCTGGGATCCCACGGGAACTGTCCTCCCCCAGCTCCACAGGAACTCTCTGAGATCCTGGCTTTGGAGGTGCAAGGAGAAGGAAAGGATGCCCAGGATCAGCAGGTGGATGATGGACTTGATGATCCTAAAGGTCTTTTCCAACCCCAACAATTCCTTGACTCTGAGATATGTAGAGTTCCCTGAAAGAGCACAAAAACAGGAGCACCAAAGCATGGGAATTACTCTGGATGTGCTTTGGGTCTGAACTTTATTCAAAGGGATTTCCAGACCCACATGTTGTATTTAGTGGAACTCCCTAAGGAGAACAGGATCACAGCTGTGACCACCTGCCTTTCCCTAGAGCCTGGAGAAGGACAACAGCTGGAAGAAAAGGAAGAGTTTTGGCAGGGCACCAACTCACACAAAACCCCAACACCCCCAAAACCCCACCCTGAAGTGGTTCATTGTCACCATATCCAGGCTACAAGAGGACAATTAGCAGGGTTTGGATGAGAAACACAGACAGGAGTTGAACACCAAAAGGAAATCACCACTGGGATTCCAAGGCCCACAAAACCATGGCATTGGGAGCCCTGGAAACAATGACCAGAGGGTCTGAAGGGTAAAGGTGGAATGGGAAAAAGGATGGAGGAGTGAGACCAAAAGCCATAAAAGCCCAGGACAGAGCCTGGCTCGCAGCTCCTGCAGACACAGAGCTCTGCCAAAGGTGCTCCTGCCAGCTGTGCTGGGAAAAATAACAAAAGGAGAAACATCCAGAATGCAGGAAAAGCAGCTCTGTTGTTCCCTAAGAGGGCCAAAGGAAATAAATGGAAATTGAATAAGATCTATATTTTTAACATCATTACTTATTGTATTTAAGAGCATTTGTTGTTGTGTTCTCTTTTGACAGCAGGATCATTTTCCTGTGTGCATTTTATCTGTGTGCATTTCTCAAACTATTCCTTGACAGGTTTTCTTCAGCAGAGACAATGAAATAAGGGGTGTTACGTGTTCCAGAAGATTCACTCTCCTCGTTCACTTCAAATAAAGGAATCAGAGTGGAAGATATTTATCATTAACTTCTCAGCACTGTCCTTCCATGAAAAGGCAGGAACACACCCGTGCTGTTGGAATGGTGGGATACAATCCATAGTCTGCCTTGGTTTGGGTCCTACAGGAGTCATGGAAGGTGTCCCTGCCCATGGCAGCAGTGGAACCAGGTGGTCTTCAAGGTCCTTCCCAACCCCAACCATTCCATGATTTCCTGATTATAACTACATATATATTTTCCTAAAAGACTGCAGTTAAAGCATGCCAACGAGAAAACAATAATGTAAACAATATTATACAATTAATTTCTCTGTGAGAAACTCCCCATCATGTATTTTAGTATTTCAGTAGCCAAGAACACATTGCTGGAATTTGTGGAATAAAAATAACCCCTAAAATAGGTGTGTGAGGGACTTAGAAGTAAAAGTGCAGCACTTGTTCATTAGCCATTAACACCTGAAACGTTTCTAGGGTTGAGGACAAAGAAATGTTATGGATTCCACTTTCTCAATTCTTACTTTTCATAGAATCAGAGAATCCCAGGATGGTTTGGGTGGGAAGAGACTTTAAATCCCATCCAGTCCCACGCCCTGCCATGGGCAGGGACACCTTCCACTTGCTCCAACCTGGCCTTGGACACTTCCAGGGATCCAGGGACAGCCACAGATTCTCTGGGCAACCTGGGCCAGGGCCTCCCCACCCTCCCAGCCAGGATTCCTTCCCAATATCCCATCTAACCACTCCCTGTGTCCTGTCCCTCCATCCCTTGTAAACGGTCTCTCTCCATATCCAATAAAACCACAGCCCCCTTTGTTTTACACTGGGCATTTTCTTTGCTGCTTGTTTAATTCAGAGCATTCCAAGTTTGGGAAACCCTTGTCAGAGCTCACATTTAACTCCTTGGTCCTGGAACTTGCTCCCACCCTCTCCTGAGGTTAAATCCCACAGCTCACACAGGAGAAATCGGCACAGCCCTTCCCAAAAGATCCATGGGAGTGGGGAGAGTTTCCCTGCAGGCCTGACCCCGGGATCAGGGAGGTGTGAAAGCACAAAAGGATCACTCAATTATTCCCACAGCTCCCGTGGTTTGTGACTCCTCCACCCACCAGGGCCACCTGTCCCTGCTCCAGGAGCTGCTGCAGCACCACATGGAACAGGAATTAGGAACAACTTCAGAGACACAAACACGGAGTTTGCAGCAGGGTAATATTGTTAAATCAGTGATTTTCAGAGCCTTCCCTTTCCCAGTGTCACCACTGATGGAAAACACACCTCACAGGCACTCAGAATCCCAGACATATTCCTGCTTTAGCTATTCCAGCCCTTCCCTGTACACTGGGAACCAGGAGCTATGCACTTTAACCATTATATTCTCCCTTTTCTGTCTGGAATGGAAAACATTTCAGATGTTTATCTGGCATCCCCTTGATTACAGAGGCTAATTCCAATTCCAATTCCAATTCCCAAGGAGCCATAATTCAGCATTTAAGCACCAAGTGCTGTCAGTCCTTATCGAGATCCTGCACAGGAGAACTGCAAAAAATGGACTAATAAATAAAACATCCTCCAGCAGGAGCAGTTAAAAACCTGAAATTCCCTCCTGTGCAACTCCCCATCCTCGTGGAATGTGCTCTGCTGGGAAATATTTACCTCCCTGTCCATGATATCCACGTTACTGTGCCTACAGTCATCACAGGGTTTTTACACTTACAACAAAACAACTGGAATGTTGGCCCCAAAATTTTGTGGAGAGGGCAAAAAAGCCCCAGACTGTTTTTAGGACAACAGAAATCCTGAAAATTGGGCTTTTTTTTTATATTTAACACCTGACTGATTGTCACCCCTGGCTCTTCTCCTCTGAATTCTGAATTTTACCCTCACTGCTGTTTTTTAACACGATTTTGGGAAAACTGTTGTGCTGTGCTCAGCTGTGGCTGCAAAACATTGGGAAGGCAAAAATTCCATAAAAAGCATTATTTCTTCCAATAATCCCCACTCCTCCCCCTGGAAAGAGCTGGATTTGCCCACTGGTTCCACTTAAGGATATTTTGGGATGGTGAGAGCTAAATATGTACAGGAAATCCCAGTTAATTAATTCAGCTTTTCTCCACAATAAGGCTCATCTTTCTGTGCTATTTTATTACTGTTTTTCACAAATCCTTTAACTTTTATCCCTGTAAATTCCTAAAAAACTGTATGGCAGTTAAAGCACCAACCAGGGAAGGGTCTGGTTCAATCAAAGGCTGTGAGTTACGGGGAAATTCAAATTTTGAGAGATAAAACAACTCAAGAAAACCACAAAGTGCATCTAAAAAAGCTGAGAACATTTTCCCTGTTCTTTACAGTTCTCATTTGAATGAGAAAAATGATCACTTTTCTCTCCCCAAAAATAATAACAGAGGAAAATAAGGTGCAGATTCAAACACCAGAGATCCCTTGTCATGGCTCCCAAGCAGGGAAAAGTCCCTCTGGAAGTTTCTGTAATCCCAAAATCAACAGGACATTTCAACTGGCTTTGTAATTAGGAGAGGAGCTGTTTGGCATCCTGTCCAGGGGTTAGTCCAGTTTAATAAGGAATTTTTCTCAGGCACAACGAGTCCCCCAGAGGTGCCAGATGCTCTTCTGAACTCGGGAGTCAGGAAGTTCCACTGATTTTGTAATTCCAGGAGATCTGAAGGAATTTTGGGAAGCAAATCCATAGACTCACGTGTTCAAATACACCACTTAATGTGATATATTTGAAAATATTCCACCTTTGATGCACAGAAAAGACCGTTTTCAGGGAAGCAAGGGCCTAAATTCAGTTGATTTCCCACTTAATCCACCAGTACATTTAACCTTTAATTCATCCAACACTTTATAATTTATGGATGTGACAGCATCATCATCCCTTTCCATCCAAAGCATTTCCAGGGGATTTTGGGATACAATCCTGCCAGGAGCATCCCCAGTTCTACTGAGAATTCCCATTTTTTTATGTTGCCAGGAATTCACTCGGTTTCTCTTTTTATTTATTTTTTTTTAAATGTGTTTTGTGGAGTTTGTTTTGTTTTGTTCTGGTTTTTAACACAACTGAGTTGACCCTTTGCATTGAGTGGATTAAATCCAAGTCTCCTAAACCACTTCTGGTTTTCCAAGGCCTTGTTCCATTCCCAATTATCCTGGCTGCATTAAAATAAACCCCTCTGGAGAGGGACAGAAGCTCCTCCCTGTTGAATTCTATTTTACTATTTCTATTCTGCACATTTCACCAGTTCCAGGGAAAAGGATAAAGCCTTTATTTGCCCAATCTGCCCCAATAAACTTCTCATGTTTCTGATCTTTGAGACAACTTATCATCTTTATTATTATTTGCTGTGGTTATTGTGGTTCCCTTAACTTCCCTATCAGCAAGAAAAACCTAAACAAACCAACCTACAATAAAATCCATCACCCAGTGACACAGCCCCATCCTAATAAAGAGAAAATCCCATCACACTCCCACTGAAAATTACCTGGGAACTGCAGATATTATCTCTGGAAGGAGAAAACAAGAGCCAGAATAACAAAGCTTGGTCCATGTGGTTAAAATAGAATTAAAAGCTCAGCTAATTGTGGGGATTCACAGTATTTTTTCTCCCAGGAACTATTTTGGAGCAGGAGCTGTTCTGAGTGTTGGCACAGACACAGATTTAGCAATTAAAAGACTTCAAAACAAAGGGGAAGAAAAAAAAAAAGCCACAAGCTGAAATATGAACAGGAGTTTCCTGAAAACATCTGACTCAGCTCTGGAAAACTGAATTTAATGGGCTTTCACCAGCTCCAGCACCAAAACTAACACCCCAGGACAGGATAATTCCCAACATTCCTCTTCCCAGCTTTGTCCCAGAGCTGAGTGCTGACTGGAGACTCACTTTTATTTTTAACACAAGTTGTTATTAACACAAAATACTCAACATTTCCCACGTTGTTGATGGAAAGAACATGAAAACACAACAGAATGCCCCCATCTGGAATTCCACAGCCTGTGGATGAGATGTAAATCCCATACCTGAGCCCTGTGGGGACTCAGGCAGGAGGCTGGGGGAAGGTTTATGTGTAATTTCAGGGACTAACACAAGGATAACACAACGTGAGGCTCCATCTCAGAGAAGAAAAGGGGTCTCTTCTTCAAGAATATTCAATAAAATAATGAAGTGCAGGTTGTGTGTGTTTTTTAGGCACGGAAACTAAAGGAACAACCTCTTGGGCAGCGAGCAATGAAACATATTCCCAACTTTCTGCCTACATGGATCTCCTACTTATCATTTAGATAATGCCACTGAAGGTTTTATAGATATATTGCTGTAATTCCAGTAGCCATTCCCAGGGGATTGGGAATTCCACAGCAGAGTAGAAGCTCCCAGGTGGGGTTTTAACCTCTTGCTGCTCCTACATGGATGAGAACCAAAGGGGGTGTTGGTGTTGAAACCTTTTCTTGTGGGGATTGACTCGGATTTGTTTGGGTGCATTTGCCTTATCCAGCTTTCCTGAGGATCCCAGGGAATACAAGCACAGGGAAGCAGACTCCTGGTGCAAAGCCAGACCTTTGCTCCATGCAGGAGGCAGGACAAAGTCTCCAGAGGGAAAATGCCTCGGGAAATCTCCTCTGTGTCACCATGACAAGGCAAAAGAGCCCCACGAGGACTGAGAGCTGCCTGATTGCAACACCCCCACCCCCCCAGCCCAGGGAAAACCAGGCCTTTTTATCCCAGGAATGGAGAGGAACCCTTAGAATTCATCAGAAACCATGAGCAGCATAACATTAGACAATTATTTCTCTGTGATTCAGCTTTTATAGGATTCCACTCTGCATTTTAAAGGAGGAAGCTCAGGAAATTCAGATCAGGTTCTTGGGTTATTGAGAGGCCAGTTGCACCTTAAGGTCACTTTGGTGTGAGCTGGGTTTTCACTCACACAGGTGCCACCTTTCCATGCTTTGCTCAAACAGAAACAGGTCAATCAAAGTCCCATTTTTGAGCTGTTCCCCTTCTGTGTTTGAACAGCCCAGAGACAGGAACAGCAGTAAACCCGTTTCCTCTCCAGGTCTTCACTGGTGAACAAACCAGGAAATGTCTCTCTCCACTCCTCCAAGTGAATATCCAGTTTATCCAACCATTGCATTACCACCTTAGTAAAATTATCATGATTAAGGCAGACCCAGACTCAGCATTTCCTTGTGCTGGCCCTGGAAAGGGCTGTTTTGTAAATTTTGGGACTCCTCGTACCTCTGACAACTCTTTAAGGGCAGCAGTGGGAAACACGTGTATCACCCAGACACTCCAACCTGGGGCTGGACTAGCAGGGCATGCTGGAGAAAACCCACCAGTTTATTTGGGGAAGTGACAAAAGAGGTGTAGGAATGTTCAAAAGTGCATGGATTTTATTTATGCAGTGTGTGTGGAAGTTCAGAGGAGCGGGAGTTGGCACAGGAAGGATGATTTTGTCCAGGACAAGGGAGATATATTCTGGTTTACCACTGGTTTGGATTAAAGCCCCAGAAGGGTTTGGGTTGGAAGGGACCTTAGAGCTCAGGGACAGGGGCAGGGACACCTTCCACTATCCCAGGATGCTCCAAGCCCCATCCAACCTGGCCTTGGACACTTCCAGGGATGGAGCAGCCACAGCTCATCTGGGCAACCTGTGCCAGGGCCTCCTCACCCTCCCAGCCAGGAATTCCTTCCCAATATCCCATCTAACTCTGCCTTCTGGCAGTGGGAAGCCATTCCCTGTGTCCTGCCACTACAGTTCCTGAGAAAGATTCCCTCTGTGACTTCCCTGCAGCCCCTGCAGACACTGGAAAGCCGCTGTGAGTCTTCTCTCTTCTTACCTCAGTACCTGGGTGTGAGCACCAACTTCTGACACGGCTAAACTCGAGTTTAAAACACAGACACGGGGAAGGAACCCTTTAAAACCAGCCATCCCATATCTCCAAGAGCTCAAGCCCAGGAGAATCCCCCCAGGAGGCCACGTACCTGCTTCAGGGCTGCTCTGGTTACAGCTGCTGCCGATGCTGTTGGGGATCACCGGGGCCGAGGGTGCCTGGAGTCGCGCCTGAGGTGGGTTCTGGTGCAAGGAGTTTCCTAAAGCCATTCCCGACTGCGGGAGCATCCCGCAGCTCCCGCCGGCCTGCATCTGGCTGATGAGCCCTGCCAGGTGGTTGGTGCTGCCCGGGCTGGCCCCGTGCCCGAAGGCAGGGTTGGGGCCGTGGCAGTGCAGCCCCTCCCCTCGCAGGGGCAGCCCCGGCGCCAGCGGGGCCTGGAGGCCGCCCGAGCTCAGGGCAGGCTCCGGGAAATGCATCTGGTTCCCGGAGCAGGGCAGGGCAGAGCCGGAGCTCCCACAGCCCGTGGAACTATTGCTGCTCACGTGGGAGCTCTGGCAGCTCATGGACTGCAGGAGCTGCGACATGGAGCTGATGGGGAAGGAGCTTTGACTCTGCTTTCTTATCAAATCGGATCCGGCTTTGGAAACCCCAGAACTGTCCAACTGGGACTGTCTCAGCAGGCTCAGCACCGTGGTGGGGGGCTGCTTCCTTTTCCTCAGAGGATCCTTTTGCTGAGACATCAGTTTGTCTCTCAGTGCTGCTCGGCCGCTCTGCCCTTCCGTGGTGGGGAGGAGCACGTTGGCAGCAGGAGGGAACATGGAATTTAAAGTGCTGTGTCCTTCGGAGTTGCCGCCGCCGGCAACAGGTCCAGAGTTGCTACTGCTGCTGTTGTTGGTACCAGCGAGTTTGTTTTGATTTGCTAGCTGTGCTTTGGCTGCTGCTGACAGTAAACTGCTGGCTGGGAAAGAGGCAGCGTTGTGCTGGTTCAAGATCTGGTTTAAAGGCATTCCCAGCAAACCGGGCTGACTCTTCAAGGAACCGCTTCCAGCCGATGCAGCGGGAAAAACTGCATTGTTGGGAGGATTCAGTACATTGCTCATTCCAGCGATTAACGGGTTGGGGATGTCCTTGTACTGGCCGAGTCCATCGTGCTTGGTGGAAGGGCTGGATGGCATGGACGGCCTCGGCGAGCCTATGGTCGACCTCGGGGACCTGGGGGGGACCTTGATGCCGCCGCAGGCCGACTGCGGCCCGACCGGGGGCAGCAGGAAATTCCCGTGATCCGACGACGTGGAGGAAGAGCGCGACCTTTGGGGAGAGGCCTCGATCCTCCCCATCCCGGGGCCCATCATGTGCACCGGGGAGGTCACGGGCGACGGGGACAGGGAGGTGGAGGCGGAGTGCTGGACCCTCTGGCCGTGGGGCGCGTGGTTGGCGTGGGCGGGTTTGAC